CGTGCCAGTGTAATTGTAGTCATTGAATCGAAAGGAATTTCATGAGCAAGTAATCACTCTGACCCCGTACCATTGTATTTTGCCAATGTCGAGCCCTGAATCATCAAATACAAAGAAAATATGATCATCCCCGATGCACACGGACATTGCTTGAAATGGTTCGTCGTGGACTTGTGACGCGCCCTCGCTGCATTCTACGACACCCTGCAATGTTTGTCCTTGTGGCTGAATGTGAATCTTAACGCGATGTCTCAGTCTCAGCTGTTGTCAACCTGCTTGAACGGCAGTCTTCCCTGCAGTGCACTATTGCAAATCTGACGTGCATGTTGAACTCAAACGAATGTATGTTCAGCCTGCAAACCTTGAAATCCTTTGTCTACTTCAATTCCTGATTGTTGCCCAGTCATCAATTGTTGCTCCTTCATCAAATTGTTTCTGTGGTATTGTTCTGCCATTAACAGTATCTTGGGCATGTGAACTAAACACAACCAGCCGATTTCTATAGGAACTCTTGGCCGTGGGGATCCGTGGGGGCTCATCCTCGTGCTCACGACCATGTACCACATCCGATGCAGCAGGCACTTTTCAGCACTCTGTAGGCCGTGCGCTTCTTGGTTGACTGGGGCCTATATGACACACACGCACCTAAGCAAGCGCCCATGCCTCTGCGACTGCAAGGGATTCCTACGCGCGTACTTTAGATTTCGTTGCCCTACGCAAGCCGCTTGCCCGCGCTTTCTACCTTAAGCTTTGTAAATACGCCAGGTCACACTGGCTCGCATGGAAAGGGACAGATTTATCAAAATCTGCCTCGAGCCCGCGTAGAAATCCGCCGAGCCTACAGAGCCTACCCCGAGGCTACTGGGAGGCTATGCCTACGCAAATTGAAGCAGTTCTGCTATGAAAACCCAGGCTTCACTTTCTGAGCGATAGCTTACCGTGAACACGCAGCCATTCCAATCGCACAGCTGCCATGTAGCCACTCTCCGTCGTGCAACCGCAGCAATCAGGAGGAAAGCTTCAGACCATGTACAACTCTATGATGCATTATCCTAGGCTTGCCTATGCGGGCGCCTCCGCAAGAAAATGTACGAAATGCCTGCAGAGCTCACCCCCCACCTAGATTGCCCACTTTAACCCCTTTCATCCGCTTGACGAACACTTCGCAGTTGGAACTGGCGGCACCTGATTGACACCACACCCTTCTGCCCTGACAAAAGCCACAGGGCAAAGCCCTTCGGCTGCAAAGGGCTTGCCAAGCAAAGGGGGCGTTCGGTCCTGTCGATGAAGGGCTTCTGCAGTCGAGGCCAGGACTCCAAGTCTTCATGGCCCAAGGCCTCGATTTGGGACAAATTGGGACGAGCTTGGTATCAAACCATCAGAATCCTGTGTAGACTGTTTGAAGGGTCGAGCATGTGGTAAAGCCTGTGGCATGTGAATTGGTGGGCGCTTCTCTTCCTTGTTGACTCTGCAGTGCCGCATCTCAGATGTCAGACAGAAAGTGATGCATCATATGCATAAGACAAACTAAGAATCGTGTCAGGCAACTCATTGCATTGCTGGTTCGTTGGTATCAGTATCAGCGCAATTCGGCAGCAGCGAGCAGCATGTATGAAGTCGGGAAAATCAAACATCACTCCCATTGCTCATCCATTGGCTCAGTCAATGCATGTTAGGCAATAGTTTGGGAACTTCGTGTTGTTGATGGACATCCTGCACTCACTGGTTACAAGCTTTGGCACGCAGCACACGCATGCTGTGGTTTCCCTGTGCAAAGAGAGCTATGGGTTTGTCGAATTATTGGTCGGGGACCTGGTAGGAGATAGTCAGCCTTTGCTGTCTGGCCATTGGAATTCTTGCAAGTCATCTGCCTGCCTCCACCACTTGCGATGGTGATGCCTGCTTGCTGCCTCAGCTGCGACAAGCCCTTCTGCATGGAACCCAAATGCCAAAGAGGGTTCAGTGAGGTCGGCTCAACAAAGAACATAGGATGAAATAGGATGAAAAGAGAATGCATCACGCGGCATGGTGACATTCATCGTGTGCCCGAGGGAAGCAAGGGCAACTCCGACGGAGCCAGAAGCATACTGCGGCTGCCAACTACGGTGCAACAAATTTTGTTTGTTTCAAGGAAACCACTTCACGGGGAAAGCTGCTGCATGAAGATATTGGATAACAGCGGCTTTAATATGATTAAGTGGCTGACCTTCTTTAAGCACCCAGCAGCCACCCGACCCACACTAAGTGCGATTGGTGGCGCCGATTCCAAAGTTCTTCGATCTCTCAGATGTCCTTGTGGCGTGGATTGCGGGACAACTTGAAAACTGGCTGAGGCCGCACACACATGCGTAGACGGCGCCTTCGCAACAAGTGTGATATGCCAATGGGCAAGTGTGACAAGTCCGGCACTCGAGAACATAAGTATTCACTATACCCAAGTCCGACTTGCACCAGTTTAGGCAAGTCACTGAGAGTCGTCCACGCTCCTCACGGCATCGCTGCACGTCCTGTGTGAGGGTGAACCTTCAGAATACTATGGAAGTGTGCAGCTCCTGTAGTGTATACTGTGTATGATTCTATTCTTAGTGTGACATTATGTAAATTGACAACTGCACAATGAAGATGCTTGCAACAACATTACTCGTGTAAAGGAAGCATTGGCCTCATTGATAAAGGAAAGTATTCGGGAATCGAGAAGTATCTCTAAACTTACTGCGAAGTCTTTGAGCAAACAGAGAGAGAGAGACACCTGCTTGCTGATTTTTGCTTTGGACGTAACGTGTCTTGCAACATCGGTTGGCTTGCGGGATGCGCAAGGAGCTCCATGCCCCTGGTAGGCTTCTGACAATGCAATCACTCGACCGCAGGCCCGGTGCCCGGCACATTGCCCAAGTGGCGACTTCTGCCTAGTGTTCCCATCTACAGTACTTTGAGCAGGCCACTGCTAAAGATCGGTGAGGTAGCTCGTAGCTTCAGGTCGATGGGATTGAATCACGCGCTGAGCGGTGGAAATCGTGCCAGAATTGAGGCTAGTGCACCGCGTGTGCTGCGCTGAGGGCTGCACACGACTCATCAAGCAAGACCAAAAAGCATCTGGCGTGCAACATCCAAAATATATTATAATGCTTTTCATGCATGCGCATGTGTCTAATCTCCAGCTTCAGTACTCAAATGGATCACACTTGGGCAGTGCCTGAGTCCGGTGACACCTCCATTGAGCCGACCAACCAGTGACAAACACGGTCCCTACAACACCTCAGGTAGACACACAACACACAACGCGCAACCAGGCAAGGGACTTGGCCTCGACAAGGCAAGTGCGCGAAGCTGGGCCAGGCAAGATCCTGGCGTTTGGCGGCCGCTTCGCAAAGAAGCGCTTCTCACAACGTATTGCTAGGCCACTCAGGCCAGTTGATTGCACACCCTCGGCCGAGCATTGAAGCAGTTCTTGCAAAATGGCAAACCACGTCCATGGTGCTCATTTAAGCCACTCGGGGAGTTTCCGACCCCACATTTTGCGCATGGAACAACCGGGTACCAATCGGCAACTGGCAGCGGCCTGCGCCTCGCCGGAGGGCCATGACATAACAGGAGAGGCCTCTGTCACGGCCGCCTTTTGAATGGCATCGATTGGCTGACTTGCCAAGTGGAAAAGGAACTTGAACTGTCCAGCTTGAACTAGGACAAACACAAAATTTTCAAAAACCGCTAGGAAACTTCTTGACCGCTAACCATGCTAACGGACAAATTCCAAATGGCCCGTGTGGCCCTCGCAATCAGAATATGAAAACAAACAGCAGTCTCAGTCATCTTGGAAGCGGAATCCTATCTGACTCCAAACAACTACAGTATCGAGATACTTTCCCAAACACAAAAGCCTTTTATTCATGCGGGTGCAACTAAGGAGCGAAACGCACCGGTTGAGTAACTCAGTATCCATGCTTCTTGCTTCTGCTTTGGCGCACTACAATATGAATGTATGTATATGTATTTCCCTGTGCTCCTGCTTTGGAGCACTACAGTGTGTGTGCAGGGGTGTGTGTGTGTGTGTGTGTGTGTGTGTGTGTCGCTCTCTCTCTCTCTCTCTCTTGTCTGCCTCTCTCTCTCCCTCTCTGTATCATTGGTCAACAAAGGGACCAAGAGTGACAAGGACAGCTTGAGCCTTGCTTTGCGGGCATTCCACCTGCAGCTGCCTTATTGAATCTGCCAACCGTTTGGTACATCGAAGTGCGACTCGACACAAACAAGCCCATGGATCATTCCCATCACAGATGCGTCAGTGTGACGTTTGAAGCCCTTTCGCTTGCGCGCAAGCGACAGTGAAACTGCTCACGACGGTCTTCGCCAGTGAGGCAACTTGTGGCATCATGAAGTCGTCCATCATGGTAGGCTCATGCATCCAAGACCGGGGAAACGATGGTCCAAGGTATGCTTGGCAATTTTCGCTCATTTGCTCCCTTCAAAAAGCAGGACTATCTCATGGGTCTATATTAACTTCCCTGACATTCAAGCTATCTCAACCTCTCCAACATGACAGACACGTTCCAAACCAACAGTTGCTGTGTACAGGGGTGACACATCCTGCACTCAAGCGCAGCCAAGAGCTAAATGCACGCAACATGGGTTGTTCTCTGGAAAAATCAAAGACAAACACAAATTCAGCCCATCAAAACAAGATGTGCGGGCTCAAACCCTCAAGCGCCCAGCTCCTCCATCTCACGGCTTCTTCAGCTCCTGCCCAAGGATGAGGTGGGAGGAGACAAACAGCTCGCCTTCTACAACCCAAGGTGTCTGGAGTCGGCAGAGTGGTAATCCCGCATTTCGTTGCCCCATAGGCCAACCCCTTTGAAGCGAAATTCTGGCAACCTCCTCAGCAAAGATCCACAGGGCACACCTTCAATCACTATGTGCAAAGAGTTCTGCAGAAGTTAGCCCTCCAGCTTTACACCAGCTTGCTACTGGTATTGCAAATATGCCAAAGCCCATGTAACGCACACAAAACAAGGTTGCTGTCCTGAAGAAGCTTTGAACCCATAAATCATGCAAGTGGACAAGTGGCACATTCAATGTTGGAGTCCATTCCTCCATGACGCTCACCAGCCCATGAAATACAGCAACATGGGTCTGTGTCAAAATAGGGGGGGGGT